CTGCTGGGACACGGGGTCTCTAAGTAATACCAGGGTAAGGCAATCATATGTTCTGGTTTGTTCAGGATCATCCCTGTTTGTTCCTGATGGTGCAGTGCCATTATTAATAACTCCCTCTTCTACTCTGAAAAGGGTCCTAGTAGGACAATTAAGTTCGATGGTCACTGCACACCAGGGTTCACTGGCCCAGCTCTAGATCTAGTTTGTCATTAACATGGTGATGAAACTGAGCAGATGAAGCTCTTTGGAATGTCTCTGAGGTGCTGTAAGGGTCAGCCCTGGTCAGTGGTGGGCATAGGTCACGGGGTAGGAACTGACCTCTCGCTGTGTGGAGAGTCACGCAGGGAGTCTATGGAGTCATGGTAAGGAGGCACAGTGGCCCTGCGCTGCTCTTCCAGGCTGTAGGCTGCTGCCCGCCGTGCTCGGGCCTCCACGCATGCTGGGCTGTTGCACTTGCTGGTACCCACTGATGACAGCATGATGCCCGACTGGGAGTCGGAGGTCAGGCTCTCAGAACGTTCCAGGCTCCATGTGTGGCTCTCATGCCTGAAGAAGCCAGGATGGAGTCAGGTGGGGGTCAGGAAGGGGCAAGGCAGCACATTAGATATGGTCCTAGGCCCATCCCCTCCCTGGTTCTTCATTCCATCTCAGGCTCCCCTAGCTCACTGCCCTTCTCCACTCGGGAGGTGATGTGTAGTATCACTAATGCCCCACCCAAGCATAGGGAGGAGGAGGGCTGGGTCCTGTGGATGGATGAGCTGCAGCATGCACAGGCCTCTTCCCTTCCTCCCTGCAACCCCCCACCCCCACCTTCCACTCCCATGGACCAATCTCGGGAGCTCAGCCCCAGTGGCCAGTACAAGGGAGCCTGCCTATGCCATGCTGGAGCCCAGGGAAGAAAAGGGCCATGTTATCTCTGAGCTGTGTGAGCCTTTGTGCTTGTGTGGACAGTCTCTTCGACCTCTGGACAGAGGCTAAGGTGGATTAGGGTCCTGTGGGCAAACCCAGGAGAGGGCATTAAATAGCTCTGGGCAGTTGAGTGAGTTGTCACTTTATGCCAGAGAAAGTGGTGCTAATGAGGCCCAAACAAAACTAAACGTTAGGTGGGAGTGCAGCAATGCCATTGCTCCTCTGGGGCTGGTTTAGGAAAAGGGAATCTGGTCCCCTGAACATCTGGATGAACAGTGGCTGTGGGTTCTGATTTGGGGCCCCCACCCCCACTCAGAGGGACTCTCAATACAGAGCCTGGCTGGGATTTCTGTGTGTCCCAGGCAGGTGTGTGATGCATGTGTCCTCGCTCTCTGTGGGTGCAGGTACAGGAGTCTACATGTCTCTGTGGGGACCTTGGTGGTGCCCACCTGTGGCTGGAAGTGGGTGTGGCTGTAGAGCAGTGGTGAGACGGAGAACAGGAGTGGCTCCCAGAGAAGGTGGTCTCGGTTTCCCTTCGGATGACGTGGTCCGTGGCTGGCACGTTCTTGGAGATATACTGGAACAGAGAGTTGGGCAGGAATTAGTGACAGGTGGCCACGTTGGGCCTCCGAAGTGAGGCACTAAACTCCAGGTTTGGGGGGAGGGGCTTGTTCACTGGATCAGTGACTCGGTGCTGGGGCAGCAATGGCCCCTGCAAATCAACCCCTGCCTGACTTTTCTTAAAGAAGTGGGCAAAGTGAGGCCAGCCAGCCTGGTGGGGCAAGACGATGCTAGCAAGCAAGGCTGAGCATGGGAGGGCTGGCTGCTGTCCTGGCTCATCCTTTAGGGGCACCAGAAGGCTGGCTGTACAGGGAGGGCTCAGAGGGAGACCTGGGAATACCACTCACATCTGCCATCTGGATCTCCTCGGGGTCCAGCCGGGGGTGGCTGGGTCCATTCGCCAGGCTCCGGTTCTGATGGGCTGGACACATGTTCTGCCGGAGGTGGTTGTGCACCTGCTTCCGCTGTTTTCTGCACAGGGGAAGGGTGCGTTGGCCTGGCATGCCCCCACACAATGCGTGAGCTCCCCTCACTGCCCCTCCAGTGAGACTCGTCTCCTCTCCTGCCCTGCTCAGGCTGCCCTCAGCCAGGACCCTCCAATTTGTCCCCCACACCATCACCACCAGCCTGAATTCAGCAGCACCTGAGTGTAGTGGTAAGGAGTTTTGGCTCTGCTGAGAGAGTAGAACTCCACTACTTTCTAGCTGTGTAAACCTGGGCAAGTTACTTAAATTCTCCATGTTTCACTTTCCTCATCTGTAACATGGGGTGATCATTTACCCACCCCAAATACCCCTGAGGATTAAGAGTAGATAAAATCTTCAAGCACAGCGGTGGCCCACTCACCCAAGCATTAATTCATTCAGTATTTATAGGCTTTTTACTATGTGCCAGATGCTACGTTGGCGCAGAGGAGACAGACAGGGTCCCTGCCCTCATAGAGCTTGCAGATCAGGAGGGCAGGCCAACGATTAACATATAAACAAAGACATGAACACGATACTTTCAGCAGAGTGTTCTGAAGAAAATAAGAGTGCTGTGGTCAGGGAGTTGAGGCCTGGGGGGCTACTTCACTTTGGTATATAGTAAGTGCTCATTACATTTGTATTAAAATCAACCAGTCTCGTCGTGCCACTCCCCTGTTTAAAACCCTTCCTTGGCCTCAGGTCCCGTTTCTCTCCCCAGCTCTGTCTCACTGGCCACTTCCCACCCCAGCTTGCTGCAACCTTGGGGCTTGTTTCTGATCCTCCACTATGCCTGCCCTCTCTGGCCTCTGGGCCTTTGCACATATTATTACATCCAACACGAGCACATTCCCTTTCCCTTCACCTGCTACCTCCTGCTCATCTCTCAGGCCCGGCCTAATTGCTCCTCCAGGGAAACCCTCCTGCCCTCCAGTTGAGTTTAGGTCCTCCTGAAATGTGTCCTGTGACACTGGACCTCGTGCTTAGGGCACTGGCCATGTTCCTGGTGCAGGGCCTGGTGTCTACAAAGTATTGAATAAAAGTTTCTTGAGAAGATGAGGAAGCGCAGTGGGGTTAGAACAGGAAGCTTGCTTTCCCCCCAATTTGTGGCCTCAATTTTCCTATTTGGGCCCCTCCCTGAGCCCCCTAACTCCCTCCATGCCTCCCTCTGACCTTCCTGGTCCTGGACTCATCCAGCACAAGGCTGGCTGGGTCATAGATTCCATATAAGGGTAGCCGGGTCCAGGACCCAGGGGCTCAGTCCCCCAAATGGTGGCTATGCCCAGACTCTTGCTCTCCAGATAAGAATGCAACAGATCTATCATTTTTCTGCATGACATTACAACTTTTGTTGGCTCCCCGGCTCCCCATTACCTGCAGGGTAAATCCCGCCTCCCTAGATTGGCATTCAAGGCCCTATGGTGCCATCTGGGTTCCAGCTATTTTATCTTGACCCCAGTCCTTTGCACCAATTGGTCTGGTTGCTAGTTGCTAGTCCCCGCGTATGCTCCAGGAACATAGCTGACCCTCTCCTGCATTTGCCGTTTAGCTGGCACTGACTACTGGGCTGCTCTTTTCTTCCCCTTGCCCTGAGGTTCACCCCCACCTTTCCTCTGCCTAGGGGTGGCCCAACCCAACTTCTCTGTGTTCTTGCCTGGACTGGTCCCAGGTGGGACCAGGCACTGCCTTGTGAGATCTCTTTTTACCTCGGGAATGTACCCTTCCTCTCTGCACTTCCCCACCCCCTAAAACTGCCTAATGTGTGCCTATGTGACAGGGTAGATGCCCCCTCATAGCATCCTCTGCGGTACATACGAGGATCATTGCCATTTTATAGAGGAGGACTCAGATTCATCAATTTGCTCAGGGTCACATGGGAAATGGCAGAGCTGGATTCAAACCCAGATCCGTCTTCGTATAATGCCTGTGCTCATGACCATTCCTGTTCAGTCCTCTGAGGCCTGTCTCCCCCATCTCTGTTCCTGCCTCTTGGTCTAGCCCAGTGATGGCGAACCTTTTGAGCTTAGCATGTAAGCATTTTGAAAAACCCTAACTTAACTCTGGTGCTGTGTCACATATAGAAATTTTTTGATATTTGCAGCCATAGTAAAACAAAGACTTATATTTTTGATATTTATTTTATATATTTAAATGCCATTTAACAAAGAAAAATCAACCAAAAAAATGAGTCCGTGTGTCACCTCTGACACGCATGTCATAGGTTTGCCATCACTGGTCTAGCCCTCTGGCCCCACAGGAACTGCAGAAGGCAGTTGGGGTATGAAGGTGTGAGTGGGGTAGGCCAGGCACCATGGGTGGTGGGGAGAAGAGCCTGGCCTCTCAGAGCTGTCTGTGAGCCCAGCCCTGGCTTGGCCTGCCCGGCTCAGTGCCCGACACTCACTTGGTCTTGCAGTAGGCGACCACGCAGACGATGCCCACAACAAGCAGAGCCACGCAGATGCCAGTGATAGTCAGGACCCTCTTCTGGTACAGCTCCTCAGCTTCTGCAGAGGCAGGGGGTGTGAGGGAGCTGGGCAGGAGGTGGACCTGTGGTGACAGTGGCGCAGACACCCCCTGCCCCCAAAGCCTTGCTCTCTCCAGCTCAGGTCCTGCCCAGCTCCTGTCCCTCCCCAGCAGTCTCCTACCTCCTGCCTCCCGCCCCGCCGCCCCCCCTTTCCTTCTGCTCCCTGGAACTCCACCCACCTGTGGATCTGGGCACAAGTGACTATGCCCATATTCACCTTCCCAAACCCCACACCCTGCCCGAGGCACGTGAGTGGAAAATGCAGGAGAATGAGGAGATGGAGGCAAAGTCCCAAGGCCATAGAGGAGGGCAACCCAGCTTGGCCAACAACCCTGCCCTGTCCCATTATGGCCTAGGGGCGGCAAAGGACCTTGATGGGCTGGGGAAGCTGTTTTTAATGGTGGCAAACATGGCAACTCTGGGCAGAGGCCTATCCTGCTACAGTGGCTTCTCTAAGAAGATGGAAAGTGGTTTGTTCTGGGCTGGTGGTAGGACCTCTGACCCAGAGGCTGGACAGAACAGACCAGGCCCACGGGGAAAGGCCGTTGTTCACCCTTGCAGCCAGGTCAGGGTTGCAGCCCTGCCGGTGCCGGCCCTCCCCACCTGTGGCTGTGAGAGGCCACCAGGGGCAGCACAGCCCTGTGCTTCAGGACAGTCCCCGGCTCCAGGCACAGTCCCGCCCTTTCTGAGGGGCTGAGCTAGGCTAGGCCGCAGACAGACCCGACTAGCTCCTCCACCTCCCACTCCTTGGGGGAGTGCCCTCTCCCTTCTAGAACAGAGAAAGCAGGAGGAAGGAAAGGAAAAAGGTGACAGTACCAGCCAGTCAAGGCATACAGCCTAGATCAGCCGTGGGCAAACTACGGCCCGTGGGCCGGATCCGGTCCGTTTGAAATGAATAAAACTAAAAAAAAAAAAAAAAAAGACCATACCCTTTTATATAATGATGTTTACTTTGAATTTATATTAGTTCACACAAACACTCCATCCATGCTTTTGTTCCGGCCCTACAGTCCAGTTTAAGAACCCATTGTGGCCCTCGAGTCAAAAAGTTTGCCCACCCCTGGCCTAGATACTCCACCTGCCCCACCTGCACCTACTGGCTGGCCCTTCCACATGGCTCCTCTCCTGCCAGCACAGGGATAAGTGAAGGCTGGACCCCAAAGCCTTGGGGGAGCCATGGAAAATTTCCCTAAGCCCTCGGCTTGCTGCACCTCCTGTGGCAAAGGTATACCCATCTGCAGACACCTGGGAGCAAACCCTCTGGACACACATACCTGTGGGTCTATGCCTATCTGAGACACAGACAGACCCCCTTCACAAAGGTGCACTCACACACATCCAGAGAAGCACATAACCACACACACACACGTGCACGTGCAATCGTGTCTGCCTACACACCATCATCTCGGGGCTCTGTGGTCTGTGTCCTGCCTCCAGTTGTCATCACCGTCCACTCCTCAGTCCTCTCCAGTCAGACATCTGTCTCCGTCACTCCTCCGAAGCCACTCTGGTCGTGGTCACTGACAACCTCTCAGCTGACTCCCTGCTGGGCCCACTCCTGTTCTCTCCAGGGTTGGCTCCCCCTGCACTGGCGTGACTGTCACAGTTGCTGCTTCCTCCTCTTCTATGTGGGCTGCAGTGCAGAAGGGCCCAGAGCTCTCAGGCTCCTTTTTTCCCCTCCACCTGCCTTCTCTCCCTTCGTGTTCTCAACCAGACTTTAAATGCCATCTGTATGCAGCTGACTCTCAAATTTTTATCTCCTGCTCTGACTTCTCCCTGAGCGCCAGACTCCTACACCCAAGGGCCATGGCCCAGCACAAGCACTGATCCCCTCATCTCTCCAAACCTGCTCCCTGCTCTTCCTATCTCTTCAGGGAAACCGCACCTTTCTTGCTTCTCAGGCCCCAAATCATCTCTGATTACTCCCTACCTTCCCGCCTACACTGGCACCCAGTCCATCAGCTAGTTCTCAGCCCTACCTCCCAAGTAGATGCTGGATCTGACCACTTCTCACCATTTCCACTGCTCCCAGCTTAGTCCCAAATGATGCCATCTCTCACCGGGACAGCTGACTGGTTTCTCTGCTTCCACTCCCCACCGCTCCCCCAACCCAATCTGTTCTCCAGCCAAAAGCCACACTGATCTACAACCATAAAGCATTTTACTTCTCACAATGGTTTCCACTGCAACTTAAATACTACTCGAAGCCTTATCATGGCCTGTGAGGCCCCAGATTACCTGGCTCCACCCTTCCTCTGAGCTCTCACCTGTGGTCCTCTTCCCCATGTCCGCTATGCTCCGGACTCGCTGGCAGTCTTGTGTCCATTGAACGAGGCCCACTCCTCCTGACTTGCTATGGCCTTGCCTCAGACATTCTCCCCCAGCTGTTTGCAGGGCTGGCTACTTTTCATGTCATTAAATGCCACCTCATTGGACAAGCCTCCCCTGACCACTTAGCTAAAGTAGCTCCCACCCCAGCTAGGCGCGATCCCATTATCTTCTTTTATTTTCTGGATGGCACTCACCACCTCCTGATAGCTTTCCAGTTTGTCTTACCGTCTGTCTCATCCTGTGAATGTGAGCACCAGAAAGGTAGGGACCCTGTGCCAGATCGCCAGACTCTGGCAAATTCCGGAGTCAGCAGATGCTTGTTGAGTTGGTGAGTGAAGGAATGTACAGACCACTGTGGCAGACACAGACGCACATTTACGTATCTCACACCTCCGCACCCTCACAGCTCCAACTGCACACACTCAACCCTTCACACCAAGGTATCCACTGCCCCCTTCCGGGTACTCACATCTGCACTGAGAGACCTAACAGATATACACACTTTCACTCTCCACAACACACACAGGCAATCCTATAGATTCACCCCTGTGCACCTGTACAGAGTTACCCCCGGCACCCTGCCACCACCACACACTGTCCAGACTCAGCCTCTCTCTCCCCACCCTGTCACAGTCAACAGGCAGGCACACTCTCACACACCGACTTTTAGCTCTGGCTTCTCCTGAGAACAGCTGATAGGGGTTGGGTGGTGGGGACACTGGGGCCTCCCCAAACGTGCCACCAGAACAGCCTTTTCATGACAGTAGGCTTCACACCACAACGGAAATCTGACAGCACAGAAGCCTCAGCCCCTCCGAGCCCGTCCTGCCCATCCCCCCATCTCTCCTGCTGTAAAACATCTGGGCACTTGCAGGGTGGAGCCTCCCAACCCAAGCCAGAGAGCTGGACAGACCGACCCTCAGAGCGCCTTCCCATCCGAGGTGTCTTCCAGGAGCCAGAACACACGAGTGGGAGGGAGGCAAGCTTCTCCACTGGGGGGCAGGAGGGAGGCTCCAGAGGCTGGCCCACCCCAGACCCTTGCTTACAGATGAACATGCGTGCCATCATGGGGGCAGATCATGGAGAGAGTGACAGCCTCAAGCAGATGACAAAGCCTGGCAGACCCAGGGCGGAGGGCAGGGATGAGAAGCAATGGAGATGGAAATGGGAGGAGGAAGGGGGACTAGGGTTAAGTGGAAAGTGCTGCCTTTCTTCACAACTCTCCAAACCAAGATGCGTGGCTTCCGGACTCCGGCTCTCCGACCCATCAGCCCCAGGCTACCATACACTGGGGCCACAGTATGTCTCCCAGGGTGCCCTGCTTTTCATGAACTTTTCGTCTCCCCCAGATAAAAGTCGTTTGATTGGACATCTTGATGGGGCCAGAGGAGAATTTTGGAATCATCTTTTTCCCATGTTTTGGAAAGGAAGCCAAACATCCAGCACACATGGAGTCAGAGGCTGTGGAGAGGGACTGTGTGGACGGGACGTAGTGATAAATGAAGGCTCCATACCCTTTAGTTCAAATCCCAGGTGCTCTGGCAGTGCAGAAGAGAAGAGGGTCAGAGAGGGGAAGGGATGGAGGGAGAGATACAGAGATGGATGGGGGAGGGGGAGGGTGGGGAAGGGGGAGAGAGAGAGAGAGAGAGAAAGAAAGAGAGAGAGAGAAACGTTGGTCAGGACTCTTCAGACACCAGCAGCCAGCCTGTGAGGTGAAAGCAGGTTAGTGGTGTCCCCTCCCAGCTTCCTGAGCCCTTTCCCTGGCACCCCATCCCCAAGAGCCCCTGACGGGTGGAAAGAGGAAATGTTAGGCTTGGCAGGCAGGGCAGGTTCTTTAGAGATGAGCTGTGGGGTTAGTACCTGGTGAGAGGCAGTTGGCATATGTCCCCGAGGAGGAAAGGTGAGTGGGGTCGGGGGTCCGAAGAGTCTGCATTCTCCCCCTCCCAGCTCCAGCACCAGGCCTTCAGCACTCTCAAGCCCCTCCTGGAAACAGCTTGCTCAGCCCCGAGCTCCTCCATGGAGCTCACTTTTCTGTTCAGAATGATGGGTGGGGCTCCCAGACTGAAACCTAGTCTCTGTCCTGCCCCCCAGACTCAGTTGGCTGCCTATCTACCAGGAGCCTGCGCACTTACACTCAGAATTTGTGGGGAGCAGGAGTGGGGAGAGGAGGAGGCTCCAGGTGGCAGGTCACTTCTCCACTTGGCATCCCCAACACCCTAGAAGCCTACAGGGGCTGGGCCTCAGGGTCTGAGCCTGATTTCGCAACTTAGCAAAGCAAACCAGAACTCTGAGAGAGACAAGTGGGCTCACTTGTGGAACACCTGTGCCCCTTAAGTGGTGGGCCAACTGCATTCTTTAAAGTGGGATCATATTGCAAATGTGCAACATGCCATACAAGGGGTAGGTAAGAGAGCCCTGCCTAAGGTGTGATCTAGCTAGAGTCTATCTAGCTCTTAGTCTCTTATCTGTTAAATGGGGGTTAGGCCTGACCATGGCATATCTGGGTAGTTTCCAACCTGGCTGTGCTTCAGGATCCTCCAGACCAATGAAATCAGGGTCTGGGGTGGGAGCCCAGGAATCTCAACAGTGTTTTTGAAAAGCTCACCTACTATTCTCATGTTGCAGCCAATTCCTATCTGCAGGCCTTGAGGCTCAGTTTTACCTCTAATTGGCTGCGTGGATGTGGGCAAGTCATCTGTCAAAAGTGCCTGCACACAGTGAGGGGTCAGATGTGAGAAGGTCAGGACAGCATGAGGCTCAGCACAGTTGCAGGGCCCAACACCATGGCCTCCCCATCTGCACTCAGTAAGCGCAGCTAGATCAGGGAGCGGGTGAACGTGTGTTTGATGTTCTCATTCCCTGTAGAGGAAGGAGAGCATGGAAGGAAGCCCTGTGCATTGTCTACCCCTGGATCTCTTTCTGCTTCCTCATGGGGATTCCAGAGGGCTCTATAGTTGGAAAAGGGCAGGAGAGCAGGGTGGCTCTGCACCAGGGACCAAGATCGTTCTGACCAAAAGAGGCTTGAGGATCCTGAGCCCTGACCCCCAGTTCCATGCAGAGACCATACCACTGAAGCCGGAACCCCAGCCCTTCCGAACATGAGCCCTCCTGTGCACTCCTGTTAGATGTGAGGTTGGGAGTGATCTTGAATGTGGTTTCTTTGCAGTCCTTTTCTTACTGCTTGGAGTAGGAGTCACCATAAGTACAGTGAGTCCATGCCTCTCCCTGGGCTAAGGAGACAGTGCAACTTTGACAAACTCAGAGTCCTCGGGAGTGACTTTCCCCGAGTAGTTAAACCTCTGGCCCCAGGGACCTTTTAGGTAACTTGAGAGAGCTCACAGTCTAGATATCAGCTATGCCTCATAAGAGAGAACAACCTAGCTTGACCATAGCACCTGGGACACTAAGATGACTGTGGTCCATAGAGCTGGCCTGGGCTCCACTTTAGACTGTTGTTTTAGATGAGGCAGCTGGGGCCCAGAGGTGCTAGAACACTTTCATAAGGTCACACAGCAAATTAGGAGGCAGAAGGGAGACTAGAGGCCAGGCCTCCAGTCTCTTGGGGCTAAACCATGGCTATTCCTGTCCACTGGGCCTCTGGGAAGGCCTGACTGGCTAGTCCTAAGGGCAATGACCACCTGGAGAAGGGAGCAGGGCTCCTAAAGCTATTTTGGAATTTTCTTCTGCACCACTCCTCTAGGAACCAAGTGGTAGCAATAACAGCAGCTTCTGGGTCTCCTGACTGTCCTTTCCTTTGAGTCAAAGGCCAGTACTGTTTAGGATGAACCAGTAGTGGCTGGTGATGTCACTGAGGGCTTGTCCAGTCACTAGGAAGGCAGTCCTGCTTCCCTCTCAGTGGGGATGAGTTCTGAGGGGCCTGTGGCTCTCCAGCCTAGCCCCAGCAAAGAAAAACAGTCTCCCACCTGTCATGTTCACTGGCTGCCACTCAGACAGGAGAAGTGGCAACACTGAGTCACAGACAGGTACTACTGAGCAGAAATTTCATATTGCCCAGTAACCATGGCAACCTGGTGCTAGCTTTCCAATAGGGCCAGGCTTAGCAGGCAATATACAAAGTCCTCATCCTGAGCATGTCTATGATACACAGCCACAGGGACCTGGACAAGGAGGCCATGATGTGGGCTCTAGAGCACATGCTTGTATGTTTGTTCATATGTCTGCAGGTGCGTGTGCTCTTTTACACGGGTTGATATATATAGATGCACAATTTTGACTCTTGGGAAGTGGAGGGGCTGTCAGTGGAAGAAGGAGAAGCTTCAACGTGCTGTTGTGACTAGAGGCTCTGATTCTGTGGCCTCTGCAAGAAGTAACCTAGTCTAGAGGCTCTCTGCAGAAAGACACTGCGCTCAGGATGTGCCGGAGGTCAGCCTCCAGGGAGCTCATGCTGGCCCTGCTGCCTAACCTGCACTCAAACAGTCATGGTAGGCAGACCCTTCATATACATAATTTCATCCTAACAGCAACCCTACAGGCAGAATTGTTAGTATCCCCATTTTACAGATGCAAAAAACAAGCACAGAGCGGTTAGGTGAGGCCCCAGAACTAGCAAGCTCCGCAACTGGCATTTTTATTCAGGTCTATCTGAAATGAAAGCCTGAACACTTAAACTAGCATCACCCACTACCTTTTTAATAATGATCTGATCGGGCACTGCATGAAGTGCTCTGGGCAGAGTGCTTGAAGAGTATAAATCCTTTACCCAAAGCTAGCAAGGTAACAGCAGTGACCCGATAACACTAGGCAGGAAGGCCTGGCGCTGCCTTTCCAGGCTCTTTTCTGAGCTCCTGGGGCCTTGCTGACCCTCCCAGCAGATCTGAGCTGAAAGCTGAAGCAGCCCAGCTGGCAGAGAAGCTTGGCCAGTGGCCGAGTTCCGGAGGCTCTGCTGCTGGCTGGGACTCCCTGTCCAGAACAGTCCACAAGTCAGGGAGGCTCTGGATCTAAAGGTGACAAGGAATAGTCCTCACTGCCTCTCTCCCATGGTGCTCAGCCTCCGCCTGGCTGCTCTGCCCCAGCCCGAGGCCCCCACCCCCCTGCCCTAAGGCCCTCCAATGGGCTGGATCTGACTCTGCAATTCTTCCTGGAGCTTGGGCTCTAGAGAATTCTGTTGGGTCACATGCCCTGCCCATAGGCTCTGCTCTTATCCCCATGGCCTTCCTCTCTGACCTCCAACTGGAGGAGCTTGGGGAGAGTGCTGCCTCCCACACGCTATTAAGATAGCTGACCATCTGGGCCGACCAGCCCTTACCTCCCTGGGGCCTCTACTTTCCTCTCCAAGACTTGGCTTCCAGGCTCCTAGAGGGAGGGAGAGGGTAGCATATTCCAGGCTTTTGTGCTGTGGCCTGAGGACCCAAACCCCCTTTTTCCAAAGGCTACCTCAGTAACCTCCTGGGTCCTTCCCTCAGCCTCTTGAACTTTAGCTGCCCATGTCCAGGCCCATCACTGTGGTTCCTAAGTCCTCCTGGGGCCCCACTGTCCTCCCTGGAGAGGAGGGGGGCAAGCAGGGGCCTATGTACTAGGAGGATGTCCTGTTTGCAGGCCAACAGACCGCTGGACCCCAAACACAGAGTCCATGGCCAGCCTGTGGCTTTTTGCTCTGCTTCACCTCCACCTGGTGGTACTTGAAAGGAACTGCTCCCAGCTCCAAATAAAACCACAATTATGGCCTCATCCTTAAGCCACAGGGCTGACATCCCACCCATCCCTCGCCCCCCGCCCCCAGCAAACCATGTACACCAGAAAACTCCAACCTCAGAAGTGGAAGAATGGAAAGGAATGAACACCTGGATGGGGACTCAGACCAGAGAGGGCCTGGCGGGAGTTGCTAGTTACCTCTCGATAACTAGCCCTTCTATCTTTTAGCATCCGCTTCAACCGCCCACCCCATCCCATAGCCATGGAAATGTCTCCAGTCTCTGGTTAACATGGAAATTATTGCCATGGGACCTGTTCTCCCTCAACACCCCCTTCTCCACACCCCCATCACCAAAAACCAAACCAAAACCAACTTTGGCTTGACCTGGAGACAGGCTTTCCGAGGACTCGTTTCCGTCAAGCACACCAGCACACACGTGCACACACTCACTGTGCGGCCCCATAGGCAGCCTGACCTCCTCAAACAGGCCTTCGGAAGCAGGTGAGGGCTCTGCAAATGCTTCTTCCTAAGCTGGCCAGGCCGCCCCACCTCAGAAGCAGTGAGGAGGCCTGAGCGGGGCTCCGGCCAGCTGCAGGGAGAATTTGGCATTACTGCACCCAGGTAGGACAGCGATGTAGAGGTGGGGTGGCAGGGGTGTATGTGTCTCCTCCGCACAGGCTTCTTGTGAGCACTGAAGGCTGAGAGGAGCCCAGGGCACCCCTGTGTCCTCCCCTAGTCTTGCTCAGCAAGGCCCCACCCCTCCCACAGGGGGAGACTGTCAGTCACCAGGGAAGAAAAGAAGTAGAAGAAAGAGACATACTGGAGAAGTTGACCATTGCGAACTGCTGACACCTGTCCCCGGTGTATCCCACAGGACACCTACCAAAAGAAAGAAAACCAGAAAGAGAGAGCCAGGATAGCAAGACACAGGCATCGCAACACCCTGGCACGGCTCCTGCCCATGCCAGCTGGGTTCCTTGCCAACGTTACCATTTGTACTGGCCTTGCCACTATGCCCCTTACCTGTAGCCCTGAACTTTAAACCCAAGGATTAGGCCAAAAATGAAAAACAAAGCAAAACAAAACAAAACAAAAAGAACTAACAAACCAAAATACAGAAAAGAAAAGAGAAACAAAACAAAACAGCCAAAGATCAAAACAACCAACACCCCTGGCCCTACGCCCTACGTCAGGGGTGGGGGGACTGCACCCGGAAGCTTTCTAAGGAGCAGGGACTCGTGTTTGTATCTTCAAACATACTTTGCTTAGGATCTGGCATGTACAATCGCAAAGGCAGTTTCTCCAAACATCTCTGTCCGAAGAATCCGTTTGGACATCTGGAGAAGGAAAAGGGGAAAAATCACAGAACAAACTGGCATCATCCGCGAGGCTCAGGTTAGAAATCAAAGTGCACAGTGATGAATGAGAAAACCAAGTTGGGCGCTGGGGCACACTTATCGCAAAAGGGGCTGGAGTCAGGGCTGGGTGGAGGGCTCGGAATTTCCTTCAAAATCTCTCTACTAGATGTGGCTCCGTAGGTGGTGGGGAGGGGAGGGAGCAGGGAGGAGGATGATACAGGGAAGCAGGGTGGGGAAACTGGGAACTTACTGCCTAATTGTCCTAATGGTCCTTGAGACTTCCCTTCTGCCCTGCCTGGGCCCCAAGAAGCCAGAACTGCAGCCCTTGGTGCCAAGCAGTCAGCAGGCAGGGTGCTGGGAGTTCTCTGGAATACCAAGTTGGGAGCCATTTCTTCTAGGCCCTGCCAAAGTGTTCTCTCCAGAGCTCTGGGCAGGGTTTCTCATCCATGAAACAGCTCCAGAAAGTTCAGAGAACCCCAGAATGCTGTTCCCAGACTGTGTACTCATGACAAAAGGGGCGTTGGAGATACCTCATCTCCTCTCTTGAAGAGGGTTCTATGGCCAAATAAGTTTAGGAAATTCATTCCCAGGCTTCCTTGTAGAGCTGCAGTGCACACCGGCATATGAAGGCTATGAAAAATTTTGTAGGAGGAAAGAACTGAATTTTCCAGTATGTCCCAAATTTATTTGACCATCGAAGTCTTTTTTTTGAGGAATCCTTGTAACCCTGTTTGGGGAAGGCTGCCCTAGAGTAGAATACACGGGGAAGCTTACTGGGGAACAGGTGAGGCTAGAGAAGAGCCAGAATTACCGGCATCCCAAAGCTGGCCTGCCAAGGCCAGGGGCAGAGCATCTGGCCTCAGGTGGCAAGTACTATGATGGGAGCTGGAGTAGGCTCCCTGGGCACCCTGAAGCCTGTTCCGCATCGGGAGCCTACTGGCTGCCTGGCACACCTGCCTTTCCCCGTGACCTGCTCCTCCATCCTTACTTGGCTCTGGTGGGTGCTCATTCTCCCATGTTGCCTCCTCTATAGCTGCAAAGCACCACCCACTCCCAGCTCCCTGAACTTGCTCTTCTGCCCAGGTAAACTTCCTTCTGCTCTTTGGCTGCCACTCTCCCCTCAAGTGAGTCCCTGTCTTGCAGATTTCTGGGAGACATGCCCAGCCCTGGTCTCAGATACCTCAGGGAGGCTTACAGACAGGGCCAAACTAACCCCAAATCCTTCTCAGAGATGGGTATGCTGCCTCGCCTCTTCTTCCTTAGGAAATGAGGTCAGCCCATCACCAGTGTCTCCTCAATAATAGGTCAGTGTTCAACATTAATCAAGAGGTGAGTGTACTCTACCTCTTAGCATTCTAGTGTATACAAATCGTCAGTATCCTCTTAAGCTTATAAGGAGGTTGTGGCCATTGGCTGTGATAGACACTCATGAAAACGCTGTGGCCCTCAATCTAGCCTGGAGGATTGGGAGTGGATGGTGAGCAGGTAGCAGAGTTTCTCTGGACCCTGACATCATCTCCCTCTGGGAGGCAGGAGGCTGGTCCCTGCAGTGGTGACGGTGTGTGTGCAGGTATACCTGGCCAATGGGCGGTGGTGAATGGCTGAAAAGTGTGTCTGGAGAAAGTGGGAGGGGCTCTAAGTGAAATTGATGTACACTCATCCTGTTGAATAGGGTGGCTGAGAGGAGCAGGCTACCACCTTGTCAGTACCTCCTTCTCTGATCCCTGGCTCTCATCCTCAACCATCCCAGCCCAGGCAGATGGAGGTCTTGGCCAAGGCTAAGGCTATGGCTTCCCAACCAGCTCCCATCAGGCTCAGCTCTTCTTCCTCAGCTCTCAGAAACTGATGTCCACGTGGGATGGGGACTCCAGGGGGAGTAGTGATTTTTCAAGCAGCAGCACCTTTGGGGGAACTTGCCCAAATGACTCTTGGAATTCGCAAAGGAACAAGAAAGAGATATGTTTGACTGTGTCCAATGTCTGAGATTAGCCTGGCTCCTGGAGACGGGGAAAACCTGTGTGTGTGTGTGTGTGTGTGTGTTAGAGAGATAATGGGGGAGGAGGGGTGCGAGGGCAGGAAGAAGCAAAGGGGACATTATTCCCAATACTGGGAGAATTTGGCATTATTGCACCATGGATGCTGTCCCTGGGATGCTCTTGGAGACCAATGATAACAGCACATCCCTGTGTCCCTGATCCCACACTCAGCCTGGACTGACCCAACTGTATCCTCATATCTTTTGTGGCCACTGAGTTGCACAACTCAAGGTGGTGCCGTGGACATGGTCTATAGCATGAACAGGCCCCCAGAGTTGTGCAATATGGTCCTAAACTTCCTGCCCTAAGAAGGTGTGTTCCCCACTGGCAGTGGGGGGATGGGCACAGTGTAGGGGTGGGGAGGACTGACACCCATGCTATTCTTTGGGCACTGGCTCCTTGGGGGGGGGGGGGGCTCCTGGACATTTCTGTTCTCTTTAGCCTTGCTTATTGAGGGTGAACTATATCTAGGAGGCTGGATTTCCCTAGAGAAGGTTCTGGGACTGAGCCTATAGCCTTTTTACCCTGCACCCAAGACCAGGTAGCAGGGTCCAGCTATTGTAGCCTATCACCCAGGAGGGGTCTGAACTCAGTGCGAGTGGCTAACTAGTAGTTCCCACTCCCATAGGGACTGACCTGGCACAGAAGCACAAGGGACAGATTAGAAGGAATGGCAGGTAGCAGCCTTCCCAGCCCTTCCTCCCAAATCATCTGCTATGACTATGGGAAGGTCTGTGCCCAGGACTGGAGAAGAGCAGGGGTGAGAGAGGGGCAGAAAGGAGAGCCCTTGGGCTATATCTGGGGTAACAGAGAGGTTGGGACACTGCCTCCCTGTTTTCCCACCCCAGCTCCCTGGCCTCAGTTTCTCCTTTTGGTAGCCTGGGGATAATGCCATGTGTGCTGCCCTCACCCAGGGGAGGGGGAGGATGAAGGATGAGGGTGCGCCCCGGCACTGGAGGGAGGGAGGAAAGGGGCTCTGGCCTCATGATGGGCGGGGTGGTGATGTGGAGAGGATGAGCAGGCACATGGGTATGGGATGGGGGAAATCACCTGGAAATGGGGTGGGGGAGCAGAAGGAATGGGGGATGAGCTGATGGGAAAGGGAGGCATGCCGCTGGTATGTGCACAGGGCTGGAAAGAGAGTCTTGTTCTGTCATCATCCCCTGAACCAGTCCCCAAGAGTCACGCACCAACCGTGCTCTACAAAACACGAAGAGAAGAGGAGAAAGCAGCAAGAGGAAGTGCAGAGACCCCTGTCTGGCCCAGACAGGAGACAGTCCCCTTGATTTGGACCCCCATTTTCCAATCCCCCTAAGTTTTCTGTTTGAAAACAAAATTCAGTATCAGGGACACTGTTTCTTTTGGATCTGAATTCCACAAAAACAGGAGGGGCGGAGTGTGCCTGCTTTCCAACACTCCCTGCAGGGCTCTGAACCAATACACAACAACAAGTGTCAGAAAACCAGGAAGGAAAACTGATTTTTATAGAAACTGGAATGAAACTGACCAGTCTAGTTTCATTATCCAAGCTAAGCGGAAATGCAAAAAAATAAAAATAAAAAGTAAACAAACAGCACAAATGGTAAGACGTGAGTCCCATTTCCTGAGTTCTCTCCTTTTTATTCCATTCAGGTGTCATCAGGAACCCCAAGAGGCCTGCCCCCCTTCCCTCCCGGCCTACCCACCCCCAGAGTGGCCTCTGGGCTCTGCCCGGCCCCCTCCCCCCTGTCCTTCTCCAGCACAGCTCTGAGGACCTGCTTTCCTGGCCAAAATCTCCGCCAGGGACGCCCCTCTCCCTTGAGGGCTCAGGGAGTCAGGGAAGTGGGTTCCAGGGCAGGTTGAGATGGGGAGGTGGTGATTCTGGGTACCAAGTTCAAGGGCTAAGCAGTGACCCCAGTGCCCTGGTGGGGAGGGGAAACAGGACATTATCTTCACAATGGCTCAGGCTCCTGCCCTCCATTCCTCTCAGATGGAGCTGGGTGGGACCCAGAGGGTCTAAAGGGTCCAGCCTTGATGGCAGGGCCCTCTGGGAACCCATTAGCTCATCCTTCTCCTTCCCAGACTAAACTCTCTAGCGGGGGTTCTGGGCCCCAAAGCCCTCCTCAGCCCCAGCACCTGCCCTGGGGGCTGAAACCTTCCCTACCTGGAGCCAGGGCTGACTTCAGTGCCTTTGCTGGATCCTTTCAAGATTCTAGGGTCCAATGGGCTAAGGAAGAGAAGACTGGTGTGTGTGTATTGGGGGGTGGTAAGCAGGGAGGGACAAGGCTAGGCTGTCTCTGGGAGGTTTTCCAGAACCCTCTGGATCTCTGTAGGTCTATTCCCAAGAGCTCAGAGCATTATCAAGGCTAGGATGCTCCCCAGGGTCTCCAGAGGTAATGTGGCGCCTCCTAGAGGCAGAGGGAGGGAAAGGATGAGGGGCTGAGTCTGGGCTTGGAACTTCCCTGGGGGACCTGCTGTTGCCATTGGCACTGTCCCCTAAGATTCAGGATCGGGGAGACGGGAAGGGGATGGCGGGAGGTAAGGGAGGAACCAGGAAGGAAGCCAGTAGAGGAGGCCGGCTGGGGTGAGAGGACAGATCTGCCCGGCAGCCCCGGCCAAGCTGGCCGCCCTGAGGGAGAGTGTGAAGGAGGCACAGGCCCGTTCTCCCTTTGTGTGGGGGGTGGTCTTTGAAGGTCCCGGGCCGGGGCTGTAGCCAGGTGGGAGAACAGGAGAGCTGAGGAATGCTGACTCTGACTTGTCTGTGGGGAGGGCACATGCCTCTCTCTGAATCTCCATCGATACTCTGGAGGCCTTTGCCCAGATGCCATGGGAATGGGGCAGCTTTGGCACCTTGCCAGACCCTAGCCTTGGGCTGCTTTGAAAACCCAAAGTTGTTAACTAGACCTCCCTCCCACTCCTGAGGATCCAGCCAGAACCTGTGCTACCCTCACCAGCCACTCCTCCTCTCCTCCTCTTGTTTCCTCCTCCTCCTCTTGCACCTGCCAGAGAACCCATCAAGGGGCGCTGTGGGTCCAGCTGCTCAGAAGGTCTGGCTGGGCCTGAACAAGCCCTCTCTGATGCCCATTCCCTCTGCCCTGTGTGTACGTGGAACAGGTGGTTCTAAGCTCCTGGGAGTCCTCCTGAGGCAGCCCTGCCTGCTGGAGAGGAGCTCTGACCTTGGGGAGGCACAGAAGGCCCAGCTGGAGCTCTTCAACCCTGACCTCCCCCATTGGGTCACACCAAGAGTGGTGTCCCCACTGGAGTCCCTTCGTCCCATAGAGAGGGACTAGGGCCAGGCAGCACCCAGGGCATATTTGGATAGTGGGGTCCTGCCAGGCAGGGAGAGTAGCCAGGTCCTGAGGTGAGCACTGGGGACAGAGCCCTCTTCTCCCCCAAGGGCTCTGGGACTCACACTCTGCCTGGCCCTGCCAGGCTCCTCACTGCTGGGGAACCCCCCCCACCCCCCCAGGGAATGTTTATCAGAACAAAGTTTGGAGAGTTGCTGAGCAATGGGGAGGGGAAGAGTTTTTTAGAGAGAGAGAGAGAGAGAGAGAGAGAACGAGCCCAATGCCCAGGTCACAGACTGGCCTCCCCATCTTCCTGAAAGGTGGTGAAGGGGTGGACATCAGGAGATGAGTGGGTAGGGGCCTGGGAAACTGGGCCTGGAGAAGCCCTGAGCCCTTTAGCGCCTACATCTCCCTGGATTCCAGGAAAGGGGGCACACATCCCTGTCTACACTCCTTGGGGACCCACTGTTAGTGGCTTGAAGCGCACTTTTCCTAGAGCCCTCCACTTCTGCCCCAGCCTGTCTTAACCTGCTCTTGCCCTCACGCCCGCCCCCACTGGTCACTTACTTGCAGGAGAGCTGGTTGATGCCCTCGATGTAGTAGCAGACGCCTCCATTGACACAATAGGACTTGGCTGTCTCGTTGCACTTCCGGGCGTGCCCCGACCAGGATGACAGAGTGGTGCTCACTGGAGGTATGAGAGACATATGCCAGTGACCCACTGAAACCACCTCTGGGCCCCAGGAACCACCGCCTGCATTGCCCATCTCAATGCTCAGAGCTCAGACAGCAGG